TCCGCCCTCGAGTCCCGTTCCCGTGCCGTACGGTATGATTGGGACGTTGTGTTCATAACACAGTTTATGGACTCGACTCACGTGTTGGGTGTTTGTGGCAAACACTACGACATCCGGAGGTATAGTCTCATAAAATCCTTCATCCTTTCCGTGTTGTTCCCGAACTGACTGAGCGATCGATACATTACTTTCACCACTCATTTGTTGAAGACTTTTCATAAAAGTTTCATTTTGTACACAATTTGTGAGTTTTCTAAACCATAATAACTTTTTATAATTAACTTTTAGCAAAACACTTTTACATAAAAGCATATTTTAATTTTTTTGCAAATATTAAATATAATTTTCTATATATTTGTTGTAAATTCAGCAGAGTAAATCCCTTTACAATATTTAATATCTAGAAAAAATTATTAATAATGCATACTAAATACTTCATAAGTAATATCATGAATACAAAATTACGCTAAGTTATAATCAATGTACTCAATTGTTGGAATTATTAGTAACAAGCAATATTTAAAGTATAAAACTTAATTTGTATTAAGAAATGAATTGTACATTAAAATAAACAAACAATAATGTTTACATTGATAAATTGTTGGGTTCAGAATTACGTTATAATCGAAATAAACTAATGATAAGTAAATAGTTTTCATGTTGGCATTGATACAAGTTTCATATTTATCCGCCAACTGCGCTCAGCATACAATCAACTAATACTACAGAGTTGTTACTAAACACCTATACAATTTGGGAGGCTTGGCATTTGGACACCCTGAATTATTTTTTGATGATTCCTTCTCTAATTTGTAGAGGAAGAGTTAGATTTTTATTTGATATATAATTTGTCTAGATTATGTTTGTAGAAAAAACTTTATGATCTCTTTTTTTCAAGAGCCGTAGAATTTTTTGGTCATTTTGAAGCATTATTACATAGAAAACGATTTTTACATAGAAAAATAATTCATTATAAAAGTTTTTCTACAAATACAATCTAGACAAATTATATATCAAATAAAAATCTAACTCTTCCTCTACAAATTAGGGAAGGAATCATCAAAAAATAATTCAGGGTGTCCAAATGCCAAGCCTCCCAAATTGTATAGGTGTTTAGTAACAACTCTGTACTTCAATTCAATACAAATTTCTCAAATTTATAAATTGAAAAATAAGTTATAAGCATTTGCTAATCCAGTTCCCAAACAGGCATTCCTCCAAATATCGAGATGCTGTTCATTTGAGAATGTCTTTCCCCGGGAATTGTTTTCACATTTTCTGTTCATTACATAGAAATGCATTCAAATGCGGCAAAAGTATAAATGGCGATAATAATTTCACAAAATGCTCATTTCTCGGTAATAATAATAATTATTATGAAGTAAAAGTTACATTTAATGTAACACACATGAATTCAAATGTGGTTTATTTATTTTAAAAAATAATTAAATTTGCAGACTTTAAAAAATTCAAAGTACAAATATATTTTTTCTAATTTTATACAATAAACTTTATTAAATAAAGGTTTAATTGCACACTAAGCTATTGTAATTCCCGTTGTATTTTTTAAATATTTGAACAATTTTTAATGTTAGATAATCAATAAAATGTTATATTATGATGTTTGTGGATTAAATAGTTGTTTCGTGCAATTGAAATGCATTTCTTGAATATATAAATCAATTTCAAGAATCCATTCATCGCTTATGAATTGATTCCAAGCGTTAGGATTGAGTGGATGGGGGTTGGGATGGGTGTAGGGACGGGTGTAGAGGTCGTACGTCACGTTTTGGATGAACTCTATTCTCGGACTGTCTTTAATGCCAAACAGTTGTGTAAAATTGGTGTATAATATAGTCCCAAAATCTATCACATTGGGTATAAAAATATTGATTACAATTACAGGTAATGCTAATATATTTTGTGTATTTTTTTTATAAATTAAAAATGACATCATTTAACTGACATTTCCGTTAAATTTAGTATATTAAATCATAAAAAATTAAATACTAGGAATTAACACACTTGGTAATTATAATAAATTCTTGTGACAACTGTTTTACATTCATTGTATTCACTGAGAAATTAGTTGTTTAAAATAAACTTAATTCAATTAAATTAATTTATAAATTGATTTAAAAATGATTTAATGAACTATTTGATTGACACACATTATTTCACATAATTTTTATTAACCACAATAAATGTGTTCAGATTTGGGATAAACAAGCGATACCATTGTATCACTTGTTTAGGACAGTCTTCTATGGTTACTATCACTGAATAATTTGGACACTAATGTGGACTCAATTGTTGGTCAGAGTATTGTATTAATTATATTAAGTTAATAACTAAGTTACTAGTTATACAAAAATATTGTATTAATTATATTAAGTTAATAACTAAGTTACTAGTTATACAAAAATATTGTATTAATTATATTAAGTTAATAACTAAGTTACTAGTTATACAAAAATATTTCCAAATCAAATACAAACCAATCATTTGTTGTCTTTCAAATCTCCAACATCTGTCGTAAACCTCCGAACGTGTAATCCTTAATCCAGTTCCCAAACAGGCATTCCTCCAAATACTCAGATGTTGTTCCTTTGAGAATGTCTTTCCCCACGAATTGTATTCAGTTTTCTGTTCATCACTTAGAAATGCATTCAAATGCGGCAAAAGTACAAATCGCGATATAATTAAGCCATTGTTTGCCAACAATCTGTTCATTACTGCCATTAATTGACTTTTATCTTCAATCCAATGAAATGCAAAGTTTGAGACAATGAGGTCTACTCTGGACTCCAGTTCCTTAAGACGTGAACTCATGTCATGCCACGAGACACTCATATCTTGTATCCAATATTCAATTGAATCCATTTTGTGATTCTCTGTGGCATATGATATCATTTTTGGGTCAATATCTACACCGATAATCATACTATGTTTGACTCGTTTGGCCAATAATTGAGTCATATATCCCGAACCACACCCGATGTCAACAATTATATTATAATCCCTAAGAAATTAATTGAAATTCCAATAAAATATTGTTATTCATTGCAAACCTGTCTTTTGGTATGTCTTGTATGAGTTGTTCCGCTGATTGTCTTTGTTTACCACCGACTCTCACATAAACCGATGGATTGATATCCATTTTGTAATAATTGTTGTTATTTTTAAATTTTATTTATATATTTAGGTGAACGAATTAAATTAAGGTCTATTTAAATAAATATTAATTCAAAAAGGCTGTTTAAAAATTAAATTGTTTCTAAACACAATTTTTGACGATATAAATACAAATCTCTAGCTTGTTAAAAATTTAATATATTAGAAAATATAGTTTAATTTAATTTGAGTTATTTTAATTGAAAAATTCAAACTTTGATTATTCATAAACAGTTATAATGACATACTGTATTATAATCTATAACTTATCATAATAATGAAAGGACTTTGTAATAAATTTGATTAAATTAAACATCATTTGCAAATTATCACTGATTATATTATATACTTATCAGTTGGGGTTGAATACTTATGACTAATAAGTATTATCGTTATTAAAAAGATTGTATTCAATTGATTTCTATAAAATATAACGTTATTTAATAAAATTATTTTAGCTATGCAATAAAATTATAAATTATTTGTCAATTAGATTAGTGTTGAATACAATTGAAATGCATTTCTTGAAAATACAAATCGCTATACACTATACACTGTACTTTATCGGTTTTTAAATTAACATAAGACTTATTAATAATAAGTTATTATTAATATCATTATAAAATGTACTGTATATTTCTTAAAATTTCATCAGTAAACTATTGACAAACTATTAATTCATGAAAATTGTAAATTAAGTAAATTATAAATAAGTTTTCTATTATAAATAATAATAATATTCTTATTATTATAAGCCAAATGTGTACATAATTCATGCACCATGATAAGTAGAAATATATTAAATTACCGGTATTGAATGCAAATAATTATTATATAAAAGTTTATTTATTAAATTAATTATTATGAAAAATTTTATTTTAAATATTACAACCAATACAACACTCATTAGAATGAAATTTTACTCTAAATATAAAATTTACAATAAGTAAACAATTGATTAATACTATAAAAGGTTATTTATATTAATGCTTAAAATTATTTTTAATATAAAAAATAACAAAAACAATTTCAACTAATAAATTCAATTCTGTTGTCAACTCCCGTATAAATAATCGGCGTTTCC